TTTTTTTTTTTTTTTTTTTTTTTTGCCAGAGCCTCTTAGAAGGGCTGCAAAGTTTTTGCAGCTAAAGCTGAATCAGGAAGCCTCTCTTAAATGAGAGCACTTGCCTCTAGCAAGCAGATTTCACTTGAGAAAGTACTGCTGTTAATAAGCCATGCTTTATTATTATTATTATTATTTTGTCTACAATTATTTTTTAAGCTCTCTCAGGCTTTATGTGAATGTAGTTGTCCACACATGGGCACCATTCTGTTAACTGATGGGAGTTCTTGCTCTTAAAAAAAGTTGGGGGATTGCTGTGGGACAATGGTTTTACCCTGTAAACATTTGTTTCTTGTATTTGTTTAATAAAATGCGTATTGGGGGCTGGAGAGGTGGCTCAGTGGTTAAGAGCACTGACTGCTCTTCCAAAGGTCCTGAGTTTAATTCCCAGCAACCACATGGTGGCTCACAACCATCTGTAATGAGATCTGGTGCCCTCAGACAAAACACTGTATACATAATAAATAAATCTTTAAAAATAAAATAAAATGCTGATTAGTCAGTAGCCAGGCAGGAAGTATAAGTGGGGTGACCATGCAGGAAGTAGAGGTAGGGCAATGAGAGTAGGAGAATTTGGGAAGAGGATTTTGCAGTCTGCAGTTGTGACCCAGACACAGAGGAAGCAAGATGTGACTTTGTTGCCTAATAAGGTACCGAGCCACATTGCTAAAATAGACAAGAATAAAGGGCTAATATGTTACAAGAGTTAGTAAGAATTCTGAGATACTAAGCCAGACAGTTTCTAACTAATGTAGACCTCTGTGTGATTTCTTTCTGACTTAATGACTGTGGGAACCAGGCAGGATAGAAACCTCACAACACACCTAACATTTTGATTTTTCTTTAAGCCTCTGGAAGTTGCCTTTTCTATCCAAGCATCATCATGGTTATGAAATTCAATATTGACTATCTCAGATCCATTCCTCTATGGGTGGTGATCTTGCCTTTAAATATAGTGATATTTATATCTTAACAAATAAAACTTGCCCTTTTTTTGACAAAAGATTATAAGGACAACGGTAAGCCACTAGAGGTCATGCAGTGGTGGCTTACATGTTTTATCCCTGGATTTGGGAAACAAAGTCTGATGGGTGTCTGAGTTAAAGGCCACCCTCACTCTGGGTTGCACAAGATCAATGCAAAAACAAATCCACGTGGTGGTGCCTCACACCTTTAATCCCAGTCCTAGGAAATCATACACCCTTAATGCTAGCACTAGAGGGATTAAAAAAAAAAATGGAGGAGAGAGAGTTTTAGTCTGCAGTTGCCACATCTTGGTAGAGTTAAGACTTTTCTAGTTGCTAGGTTGCTTTGCCTTTCTGGTTTTTTGGTTGAACCCCAATAACTGCTTCTGGGTTTTTATTATTCGTGTTACATTTAAAGGCCTTATTACCCCTTTGCGCTGTGAATTAGCATTTTCGAAAGCCAAAGATTCCATTACTATTTGTCTAGCTTCTGAATTTGATATTTTTCTCTTTATTGCTGACGTCAATCTTTGTTTAAAAAAAATTATTGAAGGTTTCTCTTGGGCCCTGTATAACTTTGGTAAATGACTCATTTCTCTTTCTGACTTCTTCAGTTCTGTCCCAAGCATTCAAAGCTGCAGTGTGGCACAGAGCTACGGTGTCTTTGTACATCAACATAATCTCCAAGAATTTGGTGTTGGGGAATTTCAGTACTTCCTTGTTCAGTAGTTCTAGCCTCATCTTTCCACCAGTTCCTCCACTGTAATTGAGGATCAGGCTCCAATATTGCTGTAACCAAGTCTTTCCAGTCTTGTGGGATAATTGTATTACTAGTTGACCATGAATTTAACATTTGTTTCACAAAAGTGGAATGCATAACATATGAGACTATTGCTTCCTAAGCCTCCTCAAACGTTACATTTCCACAAGAATTTTGTCACCTCTTATACATCCTTTGGTATACCTGTCATTTGGCAGTTTCTGTTAGGTGCCTGGATTAATGAAGTTTGGTTGTTTTTAAACCTCGGGTTGTCCCTCTCTATCATTATAATGTAATGCTGAGATTGGTTCTCCTTCAAATTTCTCTGTCTGGATCTGAATATTTTTATTATCTGTTTTAATAAGATTTTCTTAGTCTTGTTTCTTGGCACATATATCCATCAATATTTTTTAGGGATAAAATAAGAAATATCAAAATGATAGTTAACATTATGTCAATCCCAGTTAAATTGATATTCCTTCATTTAATTGTTCCATTTTTAAACCCTCCTCCATAATAGTGTTTCCCATTTTCAATGTGAGAAAAATTTCTCTTTTTTAATAAACTAATTTTCCCCTTTCAGAATTTCCATTGTCTTACCAAATCTTCCTCCAATGATGGCAAAGATGGCAGTGAAGTGTGATGCTGACTGCTGCTGCATAGAACAGTAGGAGCTTGAGCGGGTGTCAAGGCAACTACCTCCTATGGCCACACCCTGATGATGGGGTCCAGGGAAAACCTGCACTTCACTGGGGGAAGAGAGCCTGCTTTTTGAAAAAACGCACACAGGATTTTAGCAAAAAAGTACACGCAGCATGAGCTGCCTAAAGGCTGAGCTGGCTAGTGACCCCATGTGCAGCTCTAGTGTGTACTGGTGACTGCAAAGCCACAGGCAAGTGACTTTTTCATGAAGTTGTGCCCCACACTGGGCGCTAGTTGAAGTATGATCCTAATTAGTCTCATCAGTTAAAAACCCTGAGTCAGATATTTGGGGTAAAAGCTGAAAGACCAGAGAAGCAGAGCAGCAGCCACCAGATACCTCTTACCTCTCTGTATTCTTTAATCAAAAGGCCCAAGATCCTGCCTCTGCCCCCTCCCTATCTCTTCCTCTCTTCATCTAGCCTTCTCACTTCCTGACTCCTGTTTGTACAGACCTCCAGACCTCTATCTATGATTAACTAATGGATACCTCCACCCTTTGATCTCCAGGCAAACTATTTATCGGAACACAAAATATCACACAATAGTGGATTTTGATCTGATTATTCCTTGCTATGTCTTGATTATTTTTTGGTTTGGGGCTAGCAATGTTTACTCTGTTCCCTTGTATTTTTTTTTTTTTTAATAGGAGCTCAAAGTTAAGAAATTACTTTGAATTTTAGATGAGATATGTACTTTGGACTTTTAGACAGTTGGAATTGTTAATATTTGGGGGACTTTCAGAGCTTGAACACAAGATTTGGGAAACCAGAATTGATACTAGTACTTTCCAAGTGCTGGTATTGTATGGTCATGCCGCCACACCTGGTTCATGTATGTTGGGGATTGATCCAGGACTTTTGGGCATTATGGGTTTCATTTTGCAGTTTTTGTTTTAATATTTCTTTCTTTCTTTTTTTTTTTTTTTTTTTTTTTTTGATTTTTTGAGACAGGGCTTCTCCGTAGTTTTTGGTTCCTGTCCTGGAACTAGCTCTGGTAGACCAGGATGGCCTTGAACTCACAGAGATCCTCCTGCCTCTGCCTCCCTCTGCTGGGATTAAAGGCATG